GCAAAATAACTTGTTAGAGCTTTGAGACTAGAGAAACAGCGTGAGGAGGAGTGCTGAAAGAGATTTCAGAGGTAGTCCACTTCCTTGGCATATTTCAACAAAACTGCCTTAAAAATGTTCACATGTTAAAAATACATTCTATTTTTGAACACATCCAGATAAGGAGATTTTTTTTGGTATCCCATTTCAATGACTGTCACTCTGAGGAAAATTTTCCTTAGATACCTCCTTAATCTAATCACTCCCTGATGACAGCTCATTTAAGAATAATCTCAAAACTCTGTTTTTATCATTGATAAGACCTTTGTACATCCATTACCTGTTTACTAAAACAACCCTGTAATTCATGACACGTGAAGACCTACAGTACATAGTTTTCATCATAACATTATTATTGTAAATTATTAGCTAGTTCCCTCATTTCTTCATGGCAAAGTCCGGAATAAGAAAACGCATTTTAGGACAGGCTTAGCAAATGCTGAGTAAAATGGGAGAACATGCTTCTTTCTACTGGGGAGGGGTGGGGTGTCATTTTACTTTCTAATTGGCAATTAATAGCTATGATATGTGCCAGTTTCATTCTCCTTTTTTCGACTAACTATACCCAGAATTCCCTTAGGGGCTGTCAATATTTATGAGCCTTCCCCTGTCCAAAGAGCTAGGCCAGAACCCAGGCTGGACCAGACAAGAACAGTTTCCCAGGAATTCAAATTTTGAGTGAAAGAAAATCAGTAATGTCCAAGATTTCATCAATCACACAAAGTTCCCAGAGACTAGTCCTTGAGCATTCTCTCAATTCTCTGAAATTCCCCATATTCCCGTAAGTTGTTTTTCTGCTTGTTACTTTGATGTAGCTCCTTAAGGGGGTAGAAGGAAATACATAATGTTAATTTTGTGTTTATTGTATGCTTAATATGCACATAGGAAGTATTAAAATGAAATCAACCCCTTGCCATTTTGGAAACTAATAAAAATGCCCTCTGTGTTAGTTTGGGTTGACTAGAGAAACAAATTCACAGACACTCATATGTGTATAAGAAAGACCTTTATATACAAGAGCAATTGACTATTGAGAAGACATCCCAGTCCAGTCCAGATCAAGTCCATAAGTCCAATATTAACCCATATGTCCAATACCAATCTATAAAGTCCTCTTCAGACTCACGAAACACATGCAATGACGCCGAATGCAGGAAGATCACAGGCCAGTGGATGGAAAGTCGTATGGATCCAGTGGTGGTGGAAGCATCTCAGCACTGGCGTGGGTCTCCACGTGGCTCCTCCAGCTCCTGGGCTCTAGCGTAGGTCCATGTGTCTTGCCAACAGGAATGTCTTGCAGGGATTGAGTCTCCATGTGTCTCACCTCCAGCAAGCTACTTATCTCCATGGTGCCTCCAAATGAGGCCATCAAGCTGCAACCTGATTGACAGGCTACATGCCAACCCTTCACTCTTGAGAGTCTCAAGTTGGCAACAGATTCTGTAACTACCACACCCTCCTGTTGGAAACAGCAGTAGATAACTTCTTATTCAACCGATCAAAGGCAGGAATAAGCAGGCGGTTCTTCAGAATTCTGGAGACACTCTTCTTTGGGAAACTGCATTTTGATGACCTGGGGTTTCTCAGATGCTCCAGAAAATGCACAACGCTATAAATGAGCTTGATGAGGTGGCAAGGCCTTTGTCTTGAAAAGTGCGTCACAGGCAAGGACCCGTGGCTTCCGGTAGCCCCTCTCCCACAAGTGAAAAGGAAACACAAGGCTTAGGCCTGAAAATGCCTTTCATGAAATGCCCTCCCTGGCCTGGCTAGGGAGGCAATGGCCACAGCAGCCAAAGTGCTGACAAGAAAACACGCAAATGAGCAAAACCGTTGTCACCAGGTCAATTCTGCGTCATCAAGACCTCACGTGTTTCAGAGTGGTGAAGCATCCCACAGGGTTTTCAGTGGCTGACTGTGCATAAATAGATGATGAAGCCTTTGTCTAAGGCACCCCTGCGTGGACTGTACCCCAAACCTTCCTGTTGTCAGCCAAGCACATTACTAGTGACGACTGAGAGTTGCAAAGACTTGCAGATAGTTACCCAATGCACAGCCCACCACATGCATCTTCCTTCTTCGGAACCGTTATTCCAGTTATTTTCCTTCCCACAGTGCCCTTCTCACTGGTCTTCCCGGTCTTCTTCTGGCCCAATCTGATCAAGTTTCTCTGTATCCCTGACTGTATCCTCTCAGATTTATTCTCTTATGAGCATTCAGGTATTTCAGCAGCTACTGACTTTTTTATCTGAATAATCATGTTAATAAACAACTTCAGGGGCAGAGTAGCTGCCTTTCAGTCACTCCAGTATATAAAGGATTCACCTATTTATGAAACCAGAATGCTTTAACACTAACTGTGTGCAAGATATGATGCCAGGGTTGATGAGGAAAATAAATATGGACCTGACACAAGATTTACTTCCATGGAGCTTCGAGTCTGGACAGGGAAACAAGATTAGTCCCCAAGTCACCATAATTAAGACATGCTGCTGTTGGCCGCTGCTGTTGAGTTGACCTGGGCTCATGGTGACCCCTTGCATGCACAATAAAACTGCTCCACAGGACTTTCAAAGCCGTGAGCTTAAAGAAGTCTTCAAGGCTGATTTTGATAGATGTAAACCTTCCACCCTTCAGCTAGTACAAAACCAAGCCCACTGCCATCAAATCCATTCCAATTCATACTGATACTTTGTAGGGTTTGGGTGCCTGTAATTCTTCAAGTCTGCTCTTTCTCTAGAGCAGGGGGAGTTTAAGCCACAGACCTTACAGTTAGCAGTCCAATACTTCTCCCCATGTGCTATCTGAGACAGCAGTGTAGCACCAGCACCTCTGGTAGGGGTTATTTGAGAGAAGGATGGGATTATGTGGCATCACGCGGAAATTACAGAAGAACTATGAAAAAGTGGCAGTTGAGTTGAATGGGAAGGAGAACACTCGTCCCTTTCATAAGCACTAATCAAGGAAAAGGGAGCCCCGAAGGCCCAATGGTAAGCACTCGGCAACTGTCCGATGCATGGACAGTTCAAGCCCACCAATGGCTCTGGCAAGAAGGAGGAGCATCAGAAAATGAACGGTGGACAGGTGAGAAAGGGATGCTTTGAATTGGTGTGTGTTGTAGAAAACTGGCACCAAGGTGAGCACAATGATAAGTTTTGGGTGACGGAGCACAGTGAGGAATTATGGATTCTCCCACAGGAACATCACCTTATCAAGTGCCATTTCACAGGAGAATTACCTCTGAGCAAACCTCTATGGATATAGCCTGTGATCTAGCTTTCTAACTATTAACTGGAATGGACATGAAGAGTTCAAATGACCACACCAGCCCGCAAGTAAAAGCAAGGAGGGTTACCTGTGAAAGATTGTTCTGTTAGTTGTAGAGAGGGTCTCTTGCTGCAATCAGGAAACGAAGCGTGAGAGTGACAAATGGATAAGAAGCTTCCGGTTTATGTCAAGAACCACCCCATAAAAAGAAGTATCTAATTTTAGGATAATTGGTATATTTAAGCCCTCCACTATTAACCAAAAGGATAGCAGCTCAAATACACCCAGAAGCACCTCAGGTGAAATGTCTTGTGATTCACGTCTGAAAAGATGGGCCACTGAAAATCCTATGGACCTCAGTTATACACTGCCACACAGGGGATCACCGGGAGCTGGAATCAGCTGCACAGCAACTGGTCTGGGTGTGAATGTGTTGTATATTTAGATGGTACACCAGTGAATGCAAATAATTGCTTCAGTTTATCTTCTGCTGCAGGTTTGTGAGTTGAATCTCAGTTTGTAAACCTCACTGGGCAGGCCAGTTTCTTATATCCAATAAGCTTGGTTACTGGAATTACCTCTAACAGCAGATTGTTGTTGAGACCTTGCAACTGAGGAAGCGAAAATGATTTTGGTGTGAATAGAGTGTCTTATCAACAAAAATAGAGGCTTTACCAGTGTGATATAAGATTAGCACATACATGCCCTAAGGAACAAAGCCTATATCCATCAGTAGCCGTCCTAAATAAGGGAAGGGAGGAAGGCAGATTCTTAACTTTTCCACAACAAATTCCAAACAGATTTCCCTTCCCCTAGGACTATGCTGAGGCCCAGGCTGTCCCCTCAGAGTCTAGCTCCAGGCTCTGCCTGTGAGCTTCCAGCAGAGGAACTGCAGCAGACCTCACATGCAGAGCAGAACTCAGGCATACCACCCTGGCCTGCTGGATGGCCAGGGGCAGCAATTACAGCATTGGGTTAACCTGGGGGGAAAGTGCATAGACATGACCAGTTTTCTCTTTTAACCCAGAGAAAATGGTTAAATATTAAAACCAATCTTTTATTACAAAAACAGAATAATCCATTTCTTCCTAGTTCTTTCTCAAGTGAACTAAGAATTTTTCCATTCCTTTACCCAACTGCAGGGAAATGTGTCTGGAAAGTTATTGGAAGTGACAGATGGGCTTATTTTGAAATAAAATTAAGCCTGTGGTAATACTGAAGGGAAGTCAGGATCCAAAATTAAACCGGACGTGATGGAGCTGAGCTGTGAAGTACAAAGAGTGGGAGGTCGCAGGGGTGTATCTGAATCTTCTCTGAATCTCCTTACTTTGGCCAATCTGTACTGTACCTATCAGTGATATTCTTACTGCAATGTGCTCCATGAAATATTAAGCCCCATCTATTTATAGATAAGCATCCAATTATGTCTCTCATTGATACCACTATGAACACAGCATTCATATATATATATATATATAACTTCAAACTTGGAGGGGGGGGACATTAGAAACAATTCATGGTTCTTCAAAAGTCCCATATAGAATGAGATTAAAGTACTCATAGACGTATTACCACAACACACAGATATCCATGTACATACACACACACATTCCCCAAACCCTCTAAGCACTACAGACACGGTCAGAGATCATACTGCAGACTTGTTTGCCTGGGGATCTGAGGAAGAGAAAATGTACCTTATTGTGCTCGTACTTGTACGGAATCCTGAGTGTGTCCATGGCTCTGATCATGGCCTGCGTAGCCGTGAAGATGTTCTGGTATACCAGCTTGGTGAAGCCCCGCTTGTCTTCATCAGAGTATCCTGATCCATGGATGATTCTCATCTGCTTGATAAATGTACTCTTGCCACTCTCTCCTGTCCCTGAAAGACAACAACAGTGTATCAGACCACTTAACCTTCTCACTGTCTGCCAGACAACTCCATTAGAAGTAGGACACCGATGAAGGACCCTTAAACAGCCTGGGGAGGGGAGGGGCACCACAGGAGTTCAACAGTCCTGGAAGCAGAAGTCCCACTTACAGAGAATCTGAAACACTTCCCACCTTACGACAACTGGGAGCCGATTCCAACTCCCAGTCACCCTACTAGACAGGGTAGAACTAGCCCTTTGGTTTCCAATGCTGTGAATCTTTGTGGGAGCAGACAGCGTCAACTTTCTTCCTTGAGTGTCTGTTGGGCTTGAACCACTGATCTTTTTTTTTTTTTTTAATCATTTTATTAGGGGCTCATACTACTCTTTTCACAATCCGTACATACATCATTTGTGTCCAGCACATTCGTACATATGTTGCCATCATCATTCTCAAAACACCTGCTTTCTACTTGAGCTCTTGGCATCCGCTCCTCATTTTTCCCCTCCCTGCTCCCCTCTCCCCCTGAACCCTTGATATTTATAAATTATTATTATTTTATCATATCTTACATCATTCGACATCTCTCTCACCCACTTCTCCACTGTCCATCCCCCAGGGAGGAGGTTATATCATCTGTTCCCCCTTTCTCCCTCACCTTCCCTCCACCCTCCTGATATCACCACTCTTCACCATTGGTCCTGAGAGGATCATCTGTCCTGGAATCCCTGTATTTCCAGTTCCTATCTGTGCCAATGTACAACCTCTGGTTCAGCCGGATATGTAATGTGGAATTGGGATGATGGGGTGGGGGAAGCATTCAAGAACTAGAGGAAAATTGTGTATTTCATCATTGCTACACTGCACTCTGACTGGCTCGTCTCCTCCCCGCAGTCCTTCCGCAAGGGGATGGGTTTGAACCACTGATCTTGTAGTCAGCAATTTGGAGTCCAACCACCAAGGTTCCTTCCTATAATAAATACTTAGCACTACTATAAAGATGAGATTACATTTCAAAAGCAGATTTGCTTTAAAAAATGTTGTTTTTTAAAGTCTTCTCCACTCTTTGGAAGACTTTCAGCATGAGACTTTGATTGTGATTTATAAACATGCATCTTTTAAGAAACACACTGAAAACAGTTCCTTTTTGACATAACACAACCTTGATCAAGGCTTCTTCTTCGGAGGACATTTGAAACACTTCCAGAAGGCTGGATAATTTAGCCAGAATTTGAATCTGGACGTGACATGTCACTTACACAAATGATGTTAACAGAAAGGTAGGACAAGAAAATCCTAAAATCTTCATAAAAGACATTTTCTTCATTGGGGTGTAAAGAGAGCACAGTATACCATTAAGATAAGAATCTGGATCAGTCTTCTGGACAGAAAAATATCAGCTGTATTTTAAAATTTTTCCCAGTGGGGGGCGGGGTGGTGGTGGTGTGCAGAGTGTGTTGTTTGACAGAATTATTCCAAGGAGTCCCCTAATTTAGGAAAGCCATGGTGTCCACTCATGACTAGTGACACATGACAGAATATAGTTTTCCTGGATATTTCCTTCTGTGCAATCTTGCTTCTTATTTTTAAATAGCCCATTTCTGTGACCGTATGCCAGAAGACAATCCCAAACAAAGAGCTACCCATGCCCCAGAAAAGAACAGCTGAAATCATTGAACTCTATGACAACCTATATCTTCTACAGAAAATTGAAAAATTTTAGACTCTAAAACTCCAAATGTCAAAACTTAATTTCTCTAAACGTAAGCATCTTTGTTTATATGACATTTCATTTCTGCATGATATTTCCTGCTGATTTAAAAATTGTACTTGAAGCAACAAAGCTCACATGGAAGAAGCACACCGGCCTGTGTGATCATGAGGTGTCGATGGGATCAGGTATCAGGCATCAAAGAACAAAAAATCATATCATTGCGAATGAGGGGGGAGTACAACTCAAAGCCCATCTGTAGATAACTGAATGTTCCCTTACAGAAGGGTCACAAGGAAGAGACGAGCCCATCAGGATGCAGCATAGCACCAATGAGACATACTACTTTCCTCTAGCTTTTTAATGCTTCCTCCCTGCCACTATCATGATCCCAATTCTACCTTACAAATCCGGCTAAACCACAGGATGTACACTGGTACAGATAAGAGCTGGAAACACAGGGAACCCAGGACAGACAAACCCTTTAAGACCAGTAATGAGAGTAGTGATACCAGGATGTTGAGGGGAAGGTAGGGGGAGAAAGGGGGAACAGATCACAATGGTCTACATATAACCCTCCCCTGCCTGGGGGACGGACAACAGAAAAGTGGGTGGAGACATCAGTCAGCATAAGATATGAAAAAACAATAATAATTTATACATTATCAAGGTTCATGAGGGAGGATAGGGTAAGGCAGAAGAGGGGAAAAGTGAGAAGCTAACAACAAGGGTTCAAGTGGAAAGAAAATGTTTTGAAAATGATGATGGCAACAAATATACAAATGTGCTTGACAGAATGGATGTATGTATGTATTCCGATAAGAGCTGTATAAGGCCCCAATAAAATTATTTTTAAAAACATAAAAAAATAAATTAAAATTGTACTTGAACCCTCCACAGCAATAAGTGCTATTGTCTTTCCGCAGCAGCATGGACAAGCAATGGGCACAAAGGGAATAAAACAGAGAAACCATTATCGGCAGTACCCTTCTGGTCCTTTCCTCACTTCTTCCTTTCCCTCCCTTGATCTCTCCCTCTTCCAGCTAATGAGGCATGGGGTAGGGGTAGGGGGACTGAAAACTAGACTGCAACGGTCCAAATTTCATCTCATTTTTCTGGTGATCGAATCTCATTACTATCTATATAAACTATCATCAAAAATTCAAATAAGGTTTACAGTTTTCATGGAAGCACTCCTAAAGGGCTGCAGATGTCCTTTTAAACATAGAACCATCAGGAAGGATCATGTCTAGCCTCAAACTCCTGCAGTAACCAATGCCTTCATTTTTTTTCTATTATTTCAATAATGAAATCATAAACTCCTTAACATAGAAATTTAACGCCACAAAAAATGATGCTTTATCATCATAACCTTGAATAATGTAGATACATATGAAAACCTGAATCCACTGCCACTAAGTCCATTCATGGCAATGCTATAGGACAGAAGAGAACTGCTCTGTGAGTTGCCAAGCCTGCATATGTGTCTGGGAGCAGAAAGCCTCCTCTTCCTCACACCGAGTGCCCTTGAAACCTGCAAGGCAATGGAGAACCAATGCACTAGCAGGGATCCTTGAGAATCATGCACAGCAACTTAAAAAGTGGCATCTTGGCAACAAATGTACACATGTTCTCGACACAATGGATGTATGTATGGATCGTGATAAGAGTTGTACGAGCCTCCAACAGAATGATTAAAAAATAAGTAGCAAAAAAAAGTAGCATCTCTAATATAAGTAAAGCTATTAAGTTATCCCATTACTCAGTCAACAATTTATACAATGAAATGAGTATTACTCTCCAAGGTAACTGTGAATATGTAGGGGGGGGGGGGCGCGACACAACAGCCTCTTTATTATTCTCATGCAGAGCCAACAACTGACTTTCTGAGTGTAATGACAGACCAATCATCCAATGGTCAGCTCTGCCAGTTCTTTTCACAACCAGAACAGACAAGATCGGAATATGTGAGGTCAAGGGTACAAGAAGACAAGTAAGGAGGATCAGGCAACAGGGGCCTCTTTCTCTCGGTCATCTGAAAAGATTCTATGTATTCACACACCCTAACAAAAACAAAAGAAAAGGAAGTGGCAGACAAAGTTGTCTCTGTGCACATCTGCTTTTTATTTATTTGTTATTATATTAATTTATAAAGCATTTTATTGGGGCTCTTACATCTTGCTCGGCAAGGGTTGTCAACTCTTTGGGCATGGACATTGAATCTTGTCAACAAGCCCTCACTGGCATCTCCCACGTGCTAGAATCCACATAAATTCCGACTCCAGGTGGGCCACAATTGACCATGGAATAAATGGGGCAAGTCACCTCCAAGTACAGTACTTTCCTGTAACTTCACCCCACAAAGAGACCCTTTCTCCATCTTCTACATCTTGCCCGAGGAGACTAGCATGTAAGGATTTCATTAACCACCCTCTCTCTTGCCCTCTGCTCTCAGCATGGGTTTGCCCAGTAGGAGACACCAGGGACTGACTACAGCGCCAGAGAATAAGAACTGTGTTCCCAGCTCTCTCCTTCTACGACCCTGGTGAAGGCCACAGTTTTGCTGGGTGACTTTTCCCACACAGAATGTACTTCTTCCAACACCCCGCTGGTGCTGGTCCCTAGCTACTGCTCTAGTCTTTCTTGGTTACCTAGACGGGGCCCACACTTGGTGAGCAGACCCTTTGTAAAACGCTCCTCGGCCACCTAGTTCTAGTGTATCATATGTTTCCTGCTGAGACCGCAGCAGGAAACACGACTAAAGGGAAAGCAGAGGCCATTTCATAAGCTGGACAACAGAAAGGGAAAAAGAATGGAGCTCTCTTTCTCTGCAGCTTCTCTTTTCTCCAAAAACATTAGTGAAAATATGCTCTCTTAGACAGTAGTTTATACTCAGTAAGCGCCCTGGATGCGTAGTGGTTACACGTTGGGCTGCTAACTGCAAGGCCAGCAGTTTGCAACCACCAGCTCTTCTGTGAGAGAGAGAAGAGGCATTCTACTCCTGTAAAAAGTCTTGGAAACCCACTGCGGCCTTTCTGCCCTATCCTACACGGTTGCTATGAATCAGCACCGATTTAATGGCAGTGAGCTTGTTTGTCTGTTTGTAATTCAGTAACGCACTGTAATAACACTCCAATGGAGACCAATTAAAAAAAATTCAAAGGTTCCAAAACCGAATCTAGGTCTCTGCCCAAGTCCTAAAAGATACCGTACTTCTCCACACTTGCACATGCACACATACAACTCGGAGACCAATCTCCAACACAGACATAGGAAACAGTAGACTTCACCTTC